TCTGAACGACCTTACGTCTCATGGGGTGAGGATGTTTGGATGAACAGTTTATCTGCCAATTATGGGATGTCAAACGGGATTTTCAATGACGATGGAATTATTGCTAGTCATCCAAACAACTTTGTCACGGAGGTTGCGCTCTCCGAGGTTCTGAACCCCCTATCCGTCCATTATTCGATAAATCCGCCTGAATGCGCGATGATGAATCCATTATCTGTCAATTACTTGGCAGATATATCCGAAAGCGAGACGGCAAATCCACCATCTTCAACTTTCAACACTACGCAAGGTGCCTTTGCTACTTAGTTTCGCCCTGAGAATGGCTCATCTTTTTACACTCACTGGGGAGTTGTAAGAAAAACCAGATAATCAAAGCTCCTCCTTTTGAAGCGGGAAATGTCACTGGCTCAACACCGCTCAGAGCAAGATATTCACCGGGACGTATCACTGTATCGCCAAACATGCATCCGTTCTCTTTGTTCCATTCTTGTAGTGGTATCCAAATTGAGATTCCCTCCTCTTCTCGAATTCCCCTTTGTAGGGTGACCGGGTGGGACAGAGAATTGATTCGGATGGGAGCATGAGCTTTCAGTTCGACTGTTCTCCCAGGGGCCATTCTTTCGATGTTCTCTTCATTCTATAGCAATCAGCGCGAGTAGTCTTTAGGCGATATCTTACACTGACGCGCAACCATGTGTCGACTACCTGCTTGCTAAAGTTGTCTTCGTTCTCCAGTGTCTCAAACAGGTGCTTCATCCCTCGGCTTAGGAAGTGTTCATGACGCTTCGCCGCTTGGAATTTGATTCTCGCTTGTTGAACGACTTCAACGTCCACTGTTCCGCCGATATAGAATCGTGGATACGGCGCCTGGTGTGTGGGCATTGCGGAGGTTGTGCAGTTGTCCCCGCGGAAGTCCGCGCACGAGGGAAGGGCCAAATGCCCCACTATCACTCACGCGCCCGGGTTTGCAACCTTCTGAAACTCGAAACTTTTCTCTTCATGCAAATTATCGTCGGTCCACGAAAATGCAACACACCACAGGGCACATTTTGCCAGCACCAACTTTCAACAAAATACCTCGCTTCGAGCATCAAGTGCACGTAATCGCTCCAGCAGCCCTACACGCTATCGGAGAGCTTTTCATAGAGCATGACGTTCAACAGCACTATGGCGTTGGACTTCTCCATCGACATTTCGATCTACAAGACAACCAAATCATGTTACATCGTCTTAACGCAGGAGACATTGATGTCTGCTCTGTTTGCGATGTACACTCTGTGGACGCAACTTTGCTGGTTCCGCACTCGCTGTATTTGAATAGCATGCTCACTTTTGAGCCGTTCGAATACAGCTTAGGTGACACACGTGTACCCCACTTCGACACGAGCTTCCTTGATGCGCTTCGCGATCTACTTATCTCGTTGGCTTTGAGGGAGACTATCAGTCTGGTTCCTAATCCTAGCGATGGGATGCCAAATGGGATCATTGTTGAAAACACGTTGGCTGGAATTGAAGCAACACAGTCGACTGTACAACCTCGAGAATGGACTCCACATAAAGGTGACACCGCGGTCATAACTGGATGGCGTTTTCATCAAGACCAACTTGGACGTTTGCAGATTGTCGAGGTAAAGGAATGTGTTAAGAACGGAGCAGGAGTACATAACGTCACATAGACCATAAGAGAGAGAATGGCGCCTGATGCGGATTTGTTCACTATCGCTGCGCAATTCACAAATCATGCTAATAATCATGTTTTGTACCATGCATTCATTCTGATCATGTCGTGAGGATTGGAAATAGTCGGATATTGTTTCCTCTATTATCGACAACGTAAGGCAGTCTAGCAATAGCGTCGTTGACTTCCGTTTCCAGGTCGTAATCTGCCATTTGACCACTGAATACCACTTGCCGTAATCAACGAACACGACGGATAGATTGGCCACTCGGTGAGCAGTAGAATGGTCGTATCCGGGATGAAAGACACCGAAGACAAGGACGTTCATGATTTCCTCAATTTCTGATGAAAAGTAATGTCGGATTGCTGTCTCTTATGGCGATTTCAAGACTGGAGCTCGCAGTATGGACCAAATTGTTCGGTTCATTTGGGACTAGGGACGGCTTTGCACGGACTACAATACGGGTCGGCCTGTGGGAGATTTCTGTCGTAACCAGCGTGATAGTTTCGTCAATGCTCGCGAGGTCGGCCGCTGAAGTTTCATACTCTTGAGTGCCTGGCCGGATAATCTGTTCGTTTCTTTGTTGGTCCCTTTCCGGGCCCATCGCCGTTTCTGAAATGAATGATGAAGGGTTGAAGAATGATGAACCGTCGGTTGCACCGAATGATGTGTTGACTGATTTGAACGAAAAGTTGCTGAGAATTGGAGTGACAGCGGCAACAGTTAGGTCGGAGGACAGTCGAGCTCGATCTCTGTGCCCCGAATCGGGTATTACATTGAAGTCTGGATCGAGGTTATAGAAGTCATCGCGTTGCCGGAGCATCTTCCGCCGCCGACGAGTTTCGTGGCTCTCAACATGCCTTTCAAAACGACTTTGGTAGTTCTCCTCTTTGTCACCGTCGTGAAGCTCATCATCGGGAGAAATCAGAAATGACGTTGCCTCCCAATCACGGTCTTTGTTAGGAGCATGGACTGGGTCGGTATCATTTACGACCGTAGAACCATTTTCGTCGGTTTGGCGAATGGATTCTATGAGACTGGTACGCTGCTGTCATTGCCCAGAAGTTGGAATTGTACGGAAGATGTATGTGTGGTTGTGTTGCGAACATGCGGTGATCTGTGACCACAAAGCTTTGAACATGGAGAGAGGGGCGGCGCCTATATCATAAAGAGCTCCTTAAGTTGCACGACGTGGGCGTAAGAGGTTGGTAGTTGGACTCGTGCGGGTGCATGGTGATCTGTGCTTCCAATTTCAAATAAGGAGTTGCAGCTTACTATCACTTGTCACATGCAGAACGGCCCTTACTATTGCAGCATCAATACGCGCTGCCAGCACTAACCTCCATCAGTATTGAGGCACTATGTACGACCAGTGGCTGGCCTGAAGCCTCCACTTGAACAGGGTGACTGATTGCTATGGGACCCATGCAACCCTTTGCTCCGAGAGCACAACACACATCTCAAAGTTCAAAGCGATTCCGCGAACTGATCCCGAGGATGGATTCAGTAGCTTTAAGCCTTGTACATTTCTCTGCAGGCCATTGTTCTTATTATATCTATAGGCTGAAGCCGTTGTGAGCATAACCAAGGAGTCAGGTGACATTACCGTCCGTTATCTGACGGAGATGACGATATAATTATAGGTTGTGTACTTTTCACCTTCCAGGATTATGAGAAACCCTCCGATTCATCTAAAACTCTACCACACCAGGTCACGGACTGATCTGGGAGGCAAACTGCCATTTTGATGCTATTCCACGGCGCATGATATGCGTCTTGGAAAATGTACTAGCTATCTCTGTAATCCTCTGATGCTATATAAAGCTTTGTGTAAAACCTGATAATCCTTGCCAAGAGCTGGTGCGAGGTTTGAGTATGTCTTGCATTTGTGCATCGTTTCTTCAAGGAGTTTGGGGACTTCGTGGATCGGGGCAAACCCGTCAAGGTCTTTAAACCATACAGACTCGCAGCACTGTGCAAGAACCAAGCAATTTCCGAATTGACTGTCGTCTCGTGTTAGGTGTTTGATATCATGTGTTTAATATCTTATGTAATAATGAAGGATACTCACGCATGGATTGTGCCAAAAATATTCGTTACCTTTAGACGTGTTCGAATACCGTTAAAAGCTTTCGTACTCCGGATCGAGGACCACATACAAGCATGACTAAGCAGCATGCTCCTGATTGCTTTGGTACTAATGCCATCCCGAGACTGAGTTGGATCACTCTCAAGAAGATCTTCAAGTGAATTCCCCCAATCCGCTTCCCGGAGCTTTGAAGCCGTTAAGCTCTCTTTTGAAGATCTGATGTAAGTCCATGCTCGTTTAAGTACGTCTTGGTCGGCCCCCGGGCAATGGTATACGTAGTGTAGGTATGGTCGAGTAATGATTGTTTCTGCTCCATAGTATTTCGCTCGTAGCCTAGCAATATTCAGATCTAGGGAAGGATCATCATTATCATCCCAGTCCACGCCCATCGCTTTGCTCACATTTCGCCAATTATATAACCAATTAAGAAACGAAGGTATGCCTGTTGACGCCTCTCTGCCGAATGGAGGCTCGTACACGCCAGCTGGGAAGCTGTCTGGTGGATGGTCCCATAAGGTGGATAGATACATGGGGACCTGGTTGAGTATCTTACGGAACTGTATCTG